CCTGCTGAAAGAAACTAAGGGCACATAGCTTATCACTGAACATGCATCTTCTCAGATCAGTTACCCAGAAGTACTAAATAATCAGCAATGAGTTTTTTAGGTTTTGTTTTTTTTAAAAGGACCAACATTTCAGAGGAGGAGAGATTGGAAAGAAAGTTGCACTATGCAATAAACTTCATTTGTGCCAGTTCTAGACTATTATGCTATTACTAAGTTTCTTTGTTGTAATCAAATACTGTTATTTGTCTTCAACTTAAATCTTGCAAATTCTCTCAAAACAAGCTGAAAAAACCCCCACCTATTCCCTAAAGTAAGCCGCTGCTTTAAAGCGACAATGGAATGCACAGTTTGAATCAAAGTAAATCCCCAATTCACTTACTTTTCTGGCAGATGAAGGGAAGGAATTATGCTCTGGTGGTCGTACTTGCTCAATGATGCTACTCCTGGGTTCATGATCAGAATGGTTGGCAGAGGACTCTTCCTTTCTCTCTATAATTTTTAGACAACAGGGGTGGAGAAGGGAGAGATGGAGTTTTAATGTTTTATCTCTAAACCATTGCTTTATTAAACTCAGATTCAAACCTTGCACAAGATTCAGATTCAGACCTTGCACAGACCTTGGACATCTCCCAGTATCTTCCTGTTTCTCAGGATAAAGGGAAACATCCCTCAGTCCAAGAGTAACACAGTTTTCCCAACCAGGAAACTTCCCATTGACTAAACAAAGAAATTTTACCCAGTCACAAGGCAAATATGTTTGCACCGTGTAGGTACACCCTGCTGTGTGCCTTTGCACACATTTTTTTTTTTTCAACTGGCAGGCCAGCAATGATTCCTTACCAGAGAATGTTTGAGTCAGGATAAAAGACTTCACTCATTATTGGTTTGCTAGTCAAGTAATCATGAAAAGATAAAGAGAATCAAAAAAGGAGATCAAAAAGCCCTCCTATACTCCTGATGTCTAGGAATGCATTTCAGATTGCATATTGAGTCAGTCTGATGAGAAATAAAGTGTTACGATTCTGTTAATATCACTAAGAGTGTTGGGTCATATTGCTGAGATGCTACCTTGAGTGCCATAATTTATATTCTGCATGTTATCTGCTTCTGGTATAGACAGCCCAGCCCTCTACAGTACTCAAGTTTATGCTATCCTAACACGGACAAGGCAGACTGACGGCAAATTTGGTTGCTGTGTATACAAACTGCCAGAAAATGTCCACTGTACCATAAAAACCTTCTCCACATAAATTGTTTGCCATATAGTAAAAGTATTCAATAAAGGTTCCTTGCAAAATATGGGTACATACTTCCTCCACAAAAGACTATTGCTGTTAGCCTTACACTGAGAAGGTGTCTTATACAGAAATAGCTTTTAATATAAAAAGTTATAACTAGGTCCATACTAAGGAATGAAATATCTCCAATCAATAAAATGTAGCCTATTACACACATGTGATTTGACACAGAGTTCATTCAACATGATATTCTGTTGTGAAGAGCCTGATCTCCCTGTTCCAAATGCCTCAACCCCAGAATAAAGTGCACAGTACCCTTTATTACCAAAAGGACACAAGAAATCAAGTGAGCAATTAAAACTATTAAACAATTAGAGAGAATGATAGATCTAGGAATGATGGATGGGGGATGCGATAAGTTCACAAATATCTAGCTTGGCATTCTTATCCCTCAGACATTTTGATTGGGAAGAAAGGGATATAACTAGGAGCACTGGGACTGCAGAGTCCCTTTAAAACTATTAGCAGATATATCACAGAGTTAGTAGATATGCACTGGCAAAACAATGGGTTTTAGTAATTTTAAGAAATGTAAGTCCAGAAGATGAAGACTTTTATTGCTGTGTAATCCACAAAACAAGAATCTAATTTCCAACTAAATGGAAAAGGCTTCAGGATTTGGTTCAGTTTCTTCCAATTCATAAATTTAAAAAAAAGATGTTGAAAGTCTGGTTCTGTATTTTGGCATCACAAGATTTTTCAGAATGGAAACAATCCAAGTTGAATTAAATATAATAGTTAGGGGTGCAGCGATAGAGATTTTTAAGGAGGTATATCAGCCAATATCGACCTGATTTCCAATACAGCTGCATGCAGCTGGTAAGTATGTTGTGGCAGACAGGGAGGTGGGAGGGAAGGGACGTGGGGGGGGGCAGATCAAGGCCCCCGCAGCGAGAGAGGGAGTGCAGCTGGGGTAGGTGCTACCCAACTGGGACAGCATGGGGCATGGGACAGAGCCATGGCTCATCCAGGGAGTGATGGGGGGCAGGTGGCTCCTGCTACTGTATGCAACCCGGCAGGGTGCGGGTACCCCTTCAGGTGTGCCCCTGGATCTGTGCGTGGGGCGGGGGGCTGCAGCTGGGGGCTGGGGCTGCGCCAGGCTCTTCCTGGTGCGTGGGGGCTGCAATCGGGGCTGTGCTCAGAGCTGTGCTCCCAGCATGTTGGGGTTGCGCTTGGGGCAGGCAGCGGCAGCGCTGTGAGATGCGCTTGGGGGGGGGGGGGGGGGGCCCCCCC